GCTTTGACAGATGACGTTTAAGTTCATTTGCTATACGCTACGCCCTACGTCCAAATTTTCAGAACCAACTTGACCACGTTTTTATTTGAACGCTTGTTATATACATTGCTACTTCATCCGGACTACTTTTGTTAGCAAGAGAAAAAACTACTTGTTTTAATTCATTCTTGCTTAATATTTTAAATTCAGAGAAATTGGTTACCCCACTTTTTATTGAAAAAATTGGATCATTACTAGGTATATGTTGTACAATATCGTTGATACTATTTACAAAAAACTCATTAAATTTTTTAACTATGTCACAAATTATTTACCAGTAGGCCATTGAAGTCAATGTCAATATCATCTTTTGATTTTTGCCGTGTTATATGTTTCCGAGAGTTCCACATTTGTTTTGCATCGCGACAAAAATCAATTTTTTGTTTATATCTACATTTTTCTACTCTAATTATGCTAAGTTCTTGATTTCTGTTTTGTTTATAAGTCTCCCAGTCATTCTCTGCCCTTATTATTTTATGCTGTTTATACGATTTGTCCCTTTTCTTTATGGCATCTAAATCCTTATTATTAAACCACCCATTATATTTACCATGAAGCACATCTCGTTTTGGTGTTAATTTATCTATGATTTTTCTTATTCCACACAAAAAACCCTCATATTTGTCGTCGATTTTATTACTATTATAATTAAAATTACTCAAAAAATTCACATCAGTGTGAAACTGTTCAAAATTTTCTAGTCTCTTCCTAATTGATATTTTCCTGCCAAGTTGATAATCTCGAATATAGATTCCAAGACAGCTATAGTTACATATAGTAGGTTCATTTAATACTGTCGCCTCAATATTTTTGTCATTACAAAATACCAAATCAATAAGAGATGCTCCACCATCATGAAAATGTGTATCTGAAGTTACTAATTGATTTAATCCATAATCTTGAGAAAGAGTTTTTAGTTTAGCTAAATACGTTGAATTTACTTTCCAATTAATATTAAAATCACCTATCAATAAGACGCTGTGATCTATATTCATAAAATTATTTTCCAACCAATCTTCAATAAAATCCAAAATTACACTATGCGACTGACTTGATGGTGAATCATACACGCCAGCAACCGAGATTAATTCACTTTTTATTTTTAATTTTATCGCCAAAAACCAGACATTCATATTAATTACATGAGTGAAAGAAACAGTACATCTAATATCTGATATAATATAAAAAATCACACCTCCAGTGTATCTACTTTCTTAATATATCCTTTCAATATCATCTATGTCCTCAGTAATATGTGTTTCAGTTAAACATATTGCCATAGGATTTCTAATCTGTGTAAAATATTTGATTTCATCAAAATATCCCATTAGTCTTTGTGTATTTAATAAGAATACATCATTACTTAATTGCTATTGACTTTGATATTTCTTTTTTCAATCATTTGCTTTCTTTGCAATACAGGACAGGACTTATATGATTACAATCTACATTTAATTGGATCATTAGCAGTAGCATCCACACAGTTTTTGCATACATCATTAGAATTACAATTTTCGGTTTTATGTGAACCTGTACAACATATTTGTACAAATGTTTAAACTGTGCCAACTCTGTATCTTTGTATAAAGAAATATTCAGTTTTTCAGGATTATTACACTGTTTGTACTTTTTCTCCCCTATATTCACTAACTGTTGGCATATATTACTATATAACTCCATTATCAACATCACCAATAAACCAACAATTTTACACCATATACTACAGGTCCAAATCTATCTGATGATATAACTTTTGTAATTATAGTCTTCAATTTTCCACCAATTTTTAATTTTTAAGTAGGAGCAATAGTAAAACATACACATATCCACTAGCTACACCTTTTTTTTGTGAAGAATTTATAAATGGCTCGTACTTCTCTTTGTGTCGACTGCTAAAAATGGTGAGCTGGATTAAAGATGAAATCACTGCCTATTATTTTGGGATACGACTATAGGTAAATGCTTACACTTGTTCGATATTGAAAAATAATTTTAATTCCTTGTAGAAAAAAATAACCAAATTTCTCCAATATGAGCCAAATTTGGAAGAACAACACAATGCATACAACTTGAATTGAAGATTACATAGAAAAAACTGAAAGTCTATGTCCATAACACAAGAACGTGGAGACTTGTCCAAACAAATACAATTGCTGGATATTTAAAATAAATGTTAAATAAAAATTTTATTGCAAATAAGTTTACATTTTTTCTTACAAAGCAAAGTGAACAATAATATACTAGTTATAAATCATACAAAACTATTTTAAAAATCAGCCAAATAGTGTCAAAAAAGTTCATTTTTATTAATAACTAATCACCAAAATGTATCAATTTATAATTGTGGTGTCAAAGTCATTAGATACTGTAATGTCAACTTTAAACAAAGATCCAAAAAGACTGGATTGGCTTATTAAGTTAATAGATTTTCTGCACAGGTTTTCAAATGCTCATACAAGTCACTTTTAAAAGCTAGTCCAGTCCTTTACTACCAATCAAATATATTCAAACATACATCTTCAACCAATAATCTAATTGCATAAAGTTGATTTCAAATTTGATTTATATCAGTGCAGGTCTTAATTCAACACGGTTCAGAAAAAGAATAAGATATTATTTCTATGTGTAGGAGCCCTGTACTTACAGGAAAAAAAATATTTTGTGATATAGTACATAGATTTATATTGTAAGGATAACCTCTATATTCCACTGAAACTGTTTTGTCAATTATATTTAATATTAGAAAAGGAAAAGATTGCAGTATGTACCGCTACAGAAATTGTTTTGGTTGCTTTTTTTTCATTTAACCATTTTGTACACAGCAATTTTGTTCGTTTGATTTCCATTGAGTTAATCTCTATTAAATAAGATTCCTTACTGCTTTCTTTATCTAATTATTAAATAAAATATAAAACAAATTTCATTTTTTTAGTAATTAGTTGAAAAAAATCTTTAAATTATCAAATATCTAAAATAAAATTTATGACTGTCAATATACTGCTTAGAACATTTCGATTTTTAAAACAATAATAATGTATAACCTTCGCAATAAGAATTTTGAAATCAGTTTGAAAAGTGAAAATTACGTGTAACTACTTTTATATCACAATGGTTAGTTAACATCTAAGTAATATTGGGCCTAAAACAATATAATTTATCGTAACTGTGTTTTAAAGAACATACAAATTAGTTAAAATAACATTAATTTACACTGATTTCCAATACCATTATTTATGTCTACTTAACAAGAAAATTTAGTTTAGATTCCTTTTGAATATTAAAGTAATTTAAACATTAAAATATTTTATCTATTTCAAATTGTTTTTATTGTGCAATTATAATAAAAAAAATTTGGTAAAATTATATGCATTAGCTAGATGTCAAAAAATATCAAAATTCCTAATTATTAACATGGTGATTAGTTATGAAATAGGGTGATATTAGTTTATGTTAATGAAATGGTGCAAATTATATTACGTGGATAATTTTGATACAGTAATAATGAATAATAATGCCATATACACATCACAAACACAAGATAATTAGAATGATTCAACTACCCATGCAAAACATTAATAAATATATAACAAAACTACAGTTAAACTAAATTATCCAGTTAAGCAAAACATCCTTGTTTGGAAAATGTGACATTAAAAAAATTTTTTTATTAAAATTAAATTTTTCAATTGAATAAAATAACCTAATACCGTCATATATTATTGGGAAATAGGTAAAGTGTAGGCTACTAGTAAGGTTCCACAGTCAATATCCTTTTTTTCCAATTTTCACTGTAGGTTATGATTTACATTTATTAACAGATGACAGAGTATGAACAATAAATAATTTCAAAGAAATTTTGACTTTTTATAGAATGTAAATCTATGCCAGTCTTAAAAATTTGAGATCTCAAAATTTGACAGCCTGTGAAAAATGAAAAACAAAATATAAATAAAACGTTTTCCTTTCGTTACAGTTTGTATAATAAGGGAGCCAATATCATCGACTAAATGTCACTACACCTATTTCCCCTAAATATGAGGGTCTTTTTGCTTAGAAATTAAAATTTTAACTTTTAAATATAAATTTGTTTTGTAACTGTTAAATTCTGAAAATTAAATGACATTTTATATCACTTTTAAAAGCAATGAGGTTATGACAATATACAAATAAATTTCTGTATTTGTTAACTAAGTAAATATACTACACATAAAAGCTCCTACCTTAAATGGATAAAAAACCACCATGTACATACAAATGATACAATGTTCCTTTTTGTTTTTCTGTGGAACCAAGAAAATCATAACAAACTAATAACAAAATATACTTTCTAAGGTAATTATAACCAAATGGTGTTTGTGCTGTATCGGGTGGCACTCTGTAAGATTAAGTAATAATTGGAGTGATCATATACATGTCTCTTTCTCATCTTGTCATCATTTCAAATTATATATACATATTAATACACTCACATACATGCATACATACATACATACAAACATTACATATATATACACACACACACATATGAGAGTAAATTCTTGAAGTTTATATAAAGGATCCATATTATTACTTGTGCCCCGTAAATTGTGACAGAAATTTTAACATACTAACGAAATGGTAACGTTTATACCTAAATTTCCATTATCCGCAAAATGTTGGGCAATAGAGTTATCAAAAACAAGGCAATCTGAACCCATTATCGCTGATGCAACTCCTTCATGGCTTGACCTTGGCATCGCTTCCCATATCAGTCGACGTCTGTTACCATTTAGTTCCAACCTAAAAGAGTGGAGTATTATTTACTAATAGATACACAATTTTAGTTACCTACTTTTCATAATAGGGTCATGCCTCACTTCTTTGATTTTTTAAAAAAGGTTTGTCTAAAATATTTAATCAATGATTTGTATTTAGGAACCCAAATGGGTTAATTAAATGACCCTTATCGAATAAAAAACTGATTACTTTTTTATTTGCGATTTCTGAAAAAAGTATTTTGTATTAAATATCATTTAAAAAAGGCTCTGCTTATTTCAACGCGATAACATTAATTGTTATCAAGAAAAACATAATTAAATGTTTAATATTTTGTAACCACTTCCATTCAAATTGTAGTAAATTACTATTTTTAAATTTGTTTTTTTTTTCAAACAGTTAATGTTATCGAATAAGGTTGCCAAAATCTACAAGAAGTTATGATAAATTTTTTACTCAAGAAAGGTTATTAGAGTTGCAGTCTTGATGAGTTCTTTTTTGTAGGTGCATTTTATTACCATAAGGCTATAAAAAAATAATAATTTTGAGGTTGATAGAAATTATAAACAAAAAAGTAGAGATGGGCAATGGGAAATTTTCCGTCCCGGAAAGTTTCCAAAATGGAAATTTTCCGGGAAGAAATAATCGAAACTTGAGAAATTTGCCCTGGAAAGTTTCTGAAAAAATTTCCGTCGGAAATTTTCGGGGAATATTTCTAACAATTTGTAAACTTGGAGCCAATTTTACTTCTAACTTCTATGAACATACACAAAAAATCGTTGGTTAATTTCGGATTTTCGGTTAATTCGGAATACCAGAAGACCATATTATCCAAATAAGTTAGAAAACACTTACACTTACTTATTTTAATCTTTGTTAAGTCTACAATCTACATAATAGAGAGCAATACAAGACTCATAAATTGCCTCATTTTCAAATTTAATATGAATTTTGATAGTTGAACCAAAGTACAATTACATTTTAAAACTAGTATAATTATTTAATGTATTTACTATTTGTTAAAAAATAAAGATAAATATTGTATACTGTATAGTGTTTACGCACTGTAACCCTCAGCATGTAAATTTTTCTAACGGATGATTAATACATAATATATATTTTTCCAATATTTATACCAATATAAATAAAAATGTATATAAGTATTTGGCCTTTTTGGAAAGCTGATGGTATGTAGAACACAATACCACATCCAAAAAAAAATTTTTGACATTTTCGGAAAATTTCCGGAATTTTCAATGGAAACTTTCCAGGAATTTTCATAGTTTGGGAATTTTCCCATCTCTACAAAAAAGTAATTAATGCCATTCGTGTGACTTTAGTCTAAAAGATTTTCCAAAAGTATGGAAACCCCAAAAATCTGTGGGAAAGCATTTTTGGGATAAATGGTGAGGACAAAGGTCTCAGCATTTTCCACGGCGCATCCGATGATAACCTTGACCTTAAGGTCAAGGTCATCTCAAAATCAAGTCGTTTTTTTTTAAATGGCGACCCTCCCTTTCGACTCCAGAAATGGAAAAAGCAGAAAATTCTGCATCCGAATTTGTGACCTCAAGGTCAATGTCAGTTCAAGGTCAAATGTTGATATTTACTGTAATTTTTTATTTTTAACTACATAATCAGAGGGAGTGACAGTCTTTGAGTAGATAGCTGATGGTACTCCTTAGTGACTTTGATCTTGAGGTCAAGGTCGAAAGGACATGTCAATACAGCGTAGAATTCTACAGGTTATTATGATTTTAAACGTGATCTTAACGTCAATGGTCAAGATCAGGTAGAGGTCAAGTAATTATTCCGGTTGTCATTTTTTATTTTCAATGATGAAATAGAAGGGACTCACAATTTTTTAGTGACTGCAAGATCAAGGTTACTAAGGAGTACCATCAGGTATCTACTCAAAGACTGCCACTCCCTCTGATTTTGTAGTTAAAAATAAAAAATTACAGTAAAAATCAACATTTGACCTTGAACTGACCTTGACCATAGACCTTGTGGTCACAGTCAATGTCATATTCGGATGCAGAATTTTCTGCTTTTTCCATTTCTGAGGTTGAAAAGGAGGGTCACCATTTAAAAAAACCGACCTAATGTTGATATGATGTTGAAGGTCAAGGTTACAATCAGGTGCACCGTAAAAAATGCTGAAACTTTTGTCCTCACCATTTATCCCAAAAATGCTTTCCCGCTGAGATTTTTGGGGATTTCCATACTTTTGACTAACCCCGTATAATATTTTACATAGATTACACTTATGGAAACAAATTTATACAAGTAAAACTCAAAATGTTTTAATCCTTATTCCACAAACTAAATGTTAAATGTCACTATTAAGTCTTGCTATACATATAGACCATGTAACATGTAACCACTTCTATTAGGCAACCAAACTTGCACTAAAAGCAACAATTAACTCAAAATCCCCTAGAGGAAATGGTTCAGTCAAGTACATATTACATTTTCTATACAAAAACTTAATTTTATTCTGCAAAATGTGTTTATTTTATTTAAAAAAATGCTTCATAATTTTCTCACAAAAAAATTTGAATTTTTATCACTATCTAAATTGAAAAGTATTTTTTGTTGTTTGGAATAATAAATGTTAAAACTCAGAAACTATTAGATGTAATTTTCTATAAAATGATTGAAATCACAAAATCAGTGATCCAGGTGTTTTATCCGAATTACAGTTTATCTTATAATGCTAACACAAATAAGTTTCTTTACTCAGCTAATAAAAGTTTATTATATTATTCAAGTTCTTAACATATGTTCAAAATGACCACAGATATCTGCAGTTTCTGCTGCAGCATGTGCTGTTACTGTTGTTGAAAATATTGACAATGTGGTTTATCATCATGCATTTGTTCCAGGAGCTTGCTGTAAAACGTTCTCTATTACTATTTCTCAGTAAAAATTTGGGCCTCCGTCTTCTTGAAAGTACCACCTGCACACCTATTTTCTGAGGATGTAATGATATTTCAATAGTGTTACACAGATTTTCCGCAACTCAAGTTCTATAATTTAATTACATAACCAGATAAATGTACCAGAATAAAACATTAGATTAATATATCTAATTAGCATCATTTTTATGTTCATTAAACCAATAGCAATATTATATTCATTCGTTTGACAGGTGGACGTAACTCTTGAACAAAAATCTTATAATGATCAGCTCTTTCTTGTGACAAGAAATAAATTACATTATATTGAGTGCCATAGTAAATTTTGAAATATTTTAATAAAATTTTTAAATTAATTCTTATCTTTTTTTTAGTATCTTATCAGCAGACACCCGTGCCTGCAATGGCATTTTGGTCAACACATACTCTGAGTTTAATGTTCAGATACCAGCAGACGCACTGTTCATGCGCAATAGCTGACTTTTACAAATTCTTTCACTTTAGGTGTTTTTTTATTATATTTATGAACATGAATATTAGCAATACAATCTAGTTAACCTCTTGAACGCCTTGATCCATTGCGAGAAGTGCACTCCTCCCTTTTATTAAAAAATAATAATTTTGCTGTTTATCGTCAAAATTCAAATGCACAGAATAATTAAAAATAGTTTTAAAGCTTTTCCTTTATATAATACATTTTTGTTTGATCACCCATTTTCGATGATATGGTGGGTTATCTTGAAAGTTAGAAAGTTATGGTTTTGTGAACGTTAGTCACTTTTTTGAGAGAAATCTTTAAGTCAAAACAGATTATCCACGTTTTTAGTTTTTGAATTATAGCAATAAAAGGGTTATTTGTCTTCTTCATAGTTTAATAATACGCCCTCAATAATTGACATATTTCATCACTTATGAATTTGAGACTGGCAGTACTACAACTTTTTTAAACTATTTTGTTTTCTACTTTAATGACTACTTAACTTTTCTTTTGTTTATTGTCAGATTTTTCATTTTTATTTGTATGTTTTGTTGTTTAGTTATTTTTATGTTTTGGCATTATTTTTATTTTATATGTATTTTTTATATTTTTTACCACTTTTTTTATTTATTTCTACAGACAAAATAAAATAGTCTATAAGCCTATAAAATAATATTTTAATATTGTTATTGACCTTTGTAAAGGACACAATTGAACTTTTCTAAAATATTGACATACCTAATTTCTTCGATTTATAAATCAAACTAATATTTTTTAACCATGGCTGACCATAGCTTAGTCAAAAATAAGGTATAGGCAACACGGCCAATAATGGGTATATGATGTAGGTCTTATTAACGAACTAATAAAATTAAGTGTTCAATTTTTTTATCATGCCTACACACCATTTTTTACAAAATTTCAAATGAAGTAATGTTAGTATGTCATACATGCAGAAGAAATCTAGCTAAACCATCTACTACCTATTTACTACAGAGCCTTCATAAATGATTACAAGCCACGTGACCTGCAATTTTGTTTGAAAAAGTAATTTTGTTTCCTTCGCATTGGCAATTAAATTCTGGTAAAATTAAAAATTACTAAAACAGTAAGATTAACACTATTGGTGTAATTTTTCACATTTCATTCAACCAATCAGCGATCGGATTACTTCGAGTGTAGACGCAAGATTTGTTACTGTTTATTATAAACGAATCATTATGAACGATGATGTTAAACTGACATTTGTGCATTTTTCAGTAGCGCCCATCGTCCGTGTCTGTTATGGCTTTAATTCATTTTCTGACATAATTTTATTGTTCCTATTTGCTATGTACATTTAAGTCGTACATATTTCACATATAAATTTTTTTGACACTTGTGGTAACAGAAACAAAATTTTGAGGTTTATAATAACTTTATTTCAGAACGTATTATGCCATTTACTCTAGAAAAAAGATGCCTTATTTTCGAAATGGAACACAAAGTGAAGAAACATTAACTATGACACTTTCTTAAACCGGAAATGTGTTATTGTCAACAGATTTGAAACCAAACACTGCATTTGCAAAAGAAAATCTACGGGCAGATCAACTGTACTTACAGAAAATGCTTTAAAAAAACAA